GAATAGGATTTAGACATATAGCCTGATAGCATTTCGTAGTTGGTTATTCTAATCAATAGAAGAATATTGGAAGTATAATATAAAGTTATACAAGGTTATATGATATAGTTTATATAATATTGTCTATATACATATACTTTACACATTTATACATATATCCAATACTATTAGAATACCTTTAAGAATATATATATATAATATTACTACTGTTATACCTATTATGATCTTTGTGATATTTCAACAATTATGTTATTATCAGTCGGCGCTGAGGAGTATAACCATTTCAACGAAGAACAAGCAATTGCCATAAGATACAATCAAATGCGCCGCCAGTTCACTAGTGTACGTAGTATGTAGCTGAAATACCGACCGGCTAATCTAAGCCTCAAAATCTTCCGTCGAGAAAATAACTGGTAGGGGAGAGAGTAGAGAGTGGAGAGTAGAGATTGGGTAGTGGGATTTGAATAACTATATTGATGTCTTAGAAACTAGAACGATATACAAGTGTAAGAAGATTCTGCTAGCGATGTGACAAAGTCTGTGGTGTGTATATGTATATTGCAAAGCGAGCAGGAGCAGAGCGGAAGTGAAAGGAAAGGAATGCCCATATAGGCAATTCTTCTTCAATGTATGTATGTATGTATGTATGTATGGTATGATGCGGTTGTATATAGTGGGATGTACAAGTAACCAACCATAGTGGTGAATATAATGAATATACAAAGAATAGATAGAGTCAGAGATACAAGTATAGAGATATGATGATACAACACCGGTACTAGTACTCGAGTACTACTATGTACTAAGAGCACCGTTGACTGACTATAAAAGTTTGCAGACACTGACTGGTACCAGAAGATACAATACTGGTGGCTTTTGACTAGTACTAGTACTACTTGTACTAAGAGCACCGTTGACTGATCGTACTCGTCAAAGTTCGTTGCGTTGTACTGGGAAGGGGGCAGGTGAAGAGACATGAAGTCTGAAGAGATATAACATAGGAAATAAATATACAGTCTTCGTAGATGTCAATCGTCTAATTGATCTACTCGTACCTAGCTAGCATCAATATATACAGTAGTGCGGATCGCGCCGGTGTTGTAGTTGCTCACTATACCGGTAGATGTATCTCTGACAATAAGCACAATAAACTTCCAGTACCCACACTACAGTACCGACTGATATTTATTGGTGTAAAGATAGTAGTGAGGTAGTGATGTTCTTAGATGCATGATGACCAACCAACCTACGCTCTACATTGAGTCTGAGTATGGTCATACCAACCCCGCTGAGACTGCATATGACACTCCCCCTCCCCCCCAAAAAATGATACCAGTATCCAATGCAACCGTACCAGCCTCGAGCTCTCTGCTCTTCTCTCCTCTCCTCTACTCCTCTCTCCTCTTCCCACTAAATCAGCATCCATCCACTGTTCACCCCCCCCCCCCCCCTCCTAGCTATAGTACGACACTACCGGTACAAGTACCGTACCTACACCTGTCCTCCGACCCTTCCGTACCTACTCGAGTACATCGGAAACCCACACCGCACACTGCACACCGGACACCGCCCATATCCCGCTCCCACTCCCACCCAAACGATTCACGCATCAAAAACCTTGTACCGGTACTACCGGTGCACCCCCTAAAAAATTAATTTGTAAGCATCCCATCAAACATCACTCCAAAGTTATCACATCCCACACATCACGTGAAATGTCGTGCTTTTAATAAGCGATGACACAATTGAAGGGGACCCCTCGTAAAATTGTAATTGGCAGGGGTCAAATGAGAAGGCTACCCGATTACCGAGTATGGATGATTGATCGACGTCTACCGGTAGCTTATATTATATAAGGGTATCTATCGATTTAGGGAAATCTGGCGTGTGAGCATGTATTGGTTTGGTGAGGGAGGAGATGAATTGAATTAGACGAAAAGGAATGATGATATAAGAATAAATGAAAATATGTGATAAAAATATTACTACTGTATAACAACCTCACCTTAAAATATCCCCCCCTTCCCCCCCACCCCCAAAAAAAGACCTGACCCGACCCAATATCCAGGTACCGCAACCTCACCAAGAAAGGAACAAAGAACCTTTCCCTCTCTTCTCTTGCATAATCCCCCCTTCAAAACCCTCCAACTACCTAGGTAATTACCATATCCAGTAAAGACTGCAAAGTTCAAACAAGCATAAAAAAATATATATTATGATACGAAATCCATAATCCCTACTAGCGTCAATCACGCCATAACAAAAATTCTTCCATTCCAAGGCAAAATAAGGCCAATATATCCCAATCCTCGATGACCGCACTGGTAAATTGTAATGTAATGAGAGAAAGGAAACCCATGATTACTATTACTTGTCTTGTCTTCTGCTCTGAACACTTCTGAACATACCTAGGTAATGATAAGTCCGTCTCCCTCTCCCTCTTTGTAATAATGAAATGTCGTGCTTGTGTGTGATGATGGTCCACTTTTCCTTTGCTTTGAAAGAGGATATACCGTAGTGTATATACTCAAATCATCTTCCTCTTCCTCTTCCTCTTTCCCCTCACTCTTATACTCCTCACTCTTCACTCTTCACTTCTTTGTATTGTGTCATCATACTGAACCTCTTTATAATATACACAATATACTATTGTCTCGAATCATATCCCTTTATCATTATTCTCTTGCAAGCCTGTGAAATTCATTGAAGAAGCGTATCAATCACATCATCGAGACGAAAATTGTGCCATTTCTTGCTGGGCTTTTTTGATATCACTTTCATTCTTCGATCTTTAACATCTCGTCAGCTTCATATAACTTATACCTCTTTCTTCCAAACACAACCAAAATCAAAAAGCTTTAAGAAAAGTTTACTTGATCTTCACTCGACTTACTGTTCTCAACACAAATAAAAAGTTTTCTTCTTTCGCTCAACCGAAAAATATAAACAAAATGGGAGTCCACCGCGAATCGTCTTCCTCGAACCTCGAGTCGGGATATGCTTCTGGAGCATCTTCTCGTAGTTCCCTTCCTCAAATCGTCCTCACCAAAGCTCACCTTAAATTCATCAATTCAACACTCAACAACCTTCAACCTATGGAAATCCTCCGATGGGCTAAAATGACCTTCCCAAACCTCTACCAGACTACTGCTTTCGGAGTGACCGGTCTGGTCACCCTTGATATGTTGAGCAAAATCCAAAAGGAAACACCCGAACTACCGAGCATCGATGCTATCTTCCTCGATACCTTGTATCACTTCAACGAAACGCTCGAGTTGGTAGAGAAGACGAAGAATAAATATCCAAACGTCAACTTGCATGTTTATAAACCCGAAGGATGTTCTACTGTTGGAGAATTTGAGGGAAAACATGGAAATGAATTATGGAAGGTCAATGCCGACTTGTATGATTGGGTTGCCAAAGTCGAACCTGCTCAACGGGCATACAGTGAGCTGAATGTTGCTGCGGTCTTGACTGGTAGAAGAAGAAGTCAAGGTGCCAAGAGAGAAAGTTTGGATATCGTTGAGGTGGATGAGGCTGGCATGATCAAGATCAATCCGTTGGCAGGATGGAGTTTCAAGGAGGTGCAAACATATATCAAGGAGAACGATGTTCCGTACAACGACTTGTTGGATCGGGGATACAAAAGTGTTGGGGACTGGCATTCAACAGAGCCAGTAAAGGAAGGCGAAGATGAACGTGCTGGAAGATGGAAGGGTACCGAAAAGACTGAGTGTGGAATTCATAACAAACGATCAAAGTATGCACAGTACTTGTACGAAACGGAACAAAAGAAACAACAAGAGGAATTGGCCGCAGCACTAGAGAAAGTGCAGGTTGGCGAGGAGAAGATTGAGAATATCATTGTCGGAGTATGAACTCAACAGTACTTGCTGTCTTGTTTGACACATTTTCCTTTTCACGATCCTCTCGTTTTCAGCACGATGCACCTTTTATGGTCGGAGTTTGGGTTTGAAATAACGGTGGGATAAACACAAGAGTTATAAGCATTGGAGTTTCAGGCGTTGAAATGAAAGGAGATCATATGATACCTTGAGCATGGTTTCCAAATTGTTTAGATCTTTGTGGAGGCTCGTTTCCTTGATGCTCGTCATTAGAGGTCTCAGTCTCGCTATTGTATATAGCGAAAATGAGTTAATGAAAGTTATTATGACGAGAAAGGTTGAAATGTTGGTGATGACATATCATCGACGATATATGGTGTTGGTGTAGTACAACATTGTGTAACAGTCATCCAGTGGGATAACACTAGATAACCATCATCGGATCAAAATAGATTGGAAGTTATCTTGAAGATTGTTTCCTGACGGGATCAATCTAGACATCATCCAGCGGCAGGTGCGATGAGGACAATATTGTTTGTGAAGCACTTTCCACGAGGTCGTATATAGTAATAGATAAGAGTTCCGATCACCGAGTGAGACGAATCTGTCTGTACCTGGATATTAACATGCACCTCAATTCATATCTTACTACCATGCATAGGTACGTACATCTGGAAGTTTATGAAAACGAAGCCACTATCTGTGCCGTGTGCAAGCGGTGAGGAAGCGAATATGGAGGAGCTGATTATCATCTCCAAGTCTCCAACAGAACAACGAGAACCGAGAATCGGGGTCGGGGTCGGGGTCGAGAATGTCGATATCGCCTACTGTACTAGTGACTCTGGGGCTGAGCTCCAAATGGGGAAGAAATGAAGCTTATTATTGGGCTAAGTATAGGTAAGGCTGGGGTTAGCGGACGGCAATGTCGAAACATGACGGGATCTGACGACTTGAAAATTGAGTTTGCGGGTTTCGGTTCGGGCCATCGCGGGGTAAGCGGCCGCTTTCGCCGCTTATGGACTGAGGGCGTTCCTGCCAAGGATCAAATGACGACACTGCTCTCAAGACTTCCAATGCCTTTCCTTACCAGGAATGAATTCTTGATAACATTGTCGTCCTCTTCTCTCTCTCTCTCTTACAATCTAACATCCCTCTTTGTGAAATACATCAAACCCAAGGATTTACCCTACGATCAAAGTTGAAAATATTGTCAAAATGTCAAGCTCAATTGAAAAAGCAGGTGCTAAAGCTAAGGAGGTTGCGTAGGTTTATTCGGAAGCATCCTCTTCTATTTGCGTGACACTAATGAATCTTCAAACAATAGAAAGGAAGATTTCGATAAGGCGAGAGAATTGGCACGCTCAGCTGCAATCAGTGGATCTTACCTCTATCCTATTAAGGTTCGCCACTCTCAATTTCTGTCTATTGTACCTTTGTCGCACCTCCGTCTTGCTTCTATTGTACTGTACTCCAAGCTAACAAATCAATCAAATAGGGAATCGTCTACTTCCTCTCCCATCGCACACTATGGAAACCTCTATTGGCGAAACTCGTACCCACCCTGTCCTTGTCCGCCGTCGTCGTGACTTTAATGTTCATGTTTACCTATCTCCCACAACTAGCCATTCTGGTCTTCACTGATGGTCCTCTCGCCGCAGTCTCTGCAGGCATCTTGACCCTTTCTGAATCTAGCACAATTATCACCATGCTCTCCAAGAACTTCCTCATTGCAGATGCTCTTGTTGATACGTTTGATGGAGTGATGGTGGCGAGAGGTCAATCGACTGTCGTGCAAGGTGGACGAGAGGTCAAATCAGGACCGTTTGGTGACCCAATGAGAAAATTGGGTAAGGTTGTGAAAGGATATGGTGACAAGTATAGTTTTGGAGGTTTGGTGAGATACTTGATGTATCTGCCTTTGAATCTTATTCCCGTTATTGGTACGGTAGTCTTTGTCGGTTTGCAAGGACGACAGAGGGGTGAGGGGGTTCATTCAAGAGTATGTTTTTATGGCCATCTTCTGGCGATGAATCATCAAGCTGACGGAACACTTAGTACTTCCAATTGAAGGGATGGTCTGGTGCACAGAAAGAAGCGTGGTTAAAAGAACATACTGCGGCATATACATCGTGAGTTTGGCTTTTCACCTTTTCACCTCTTCCATCTTTTCATAGTACCCATCATTGCCACAGAGGTCAAATCTACGGCTTTCGGGATCTGCATTGCATCTGTAAATGCATTGCATTTGTACCCTGGCAACTGTAGTACTTTTATCACTTTTTGCCCTGTCCCTGCGCGCATCTATTTTGTAGATGCGTCTTTGACAGGTATCACAAAGCAAGACGATCAACCATTGTAGAGTTTACTTAATTAATTTTCAAATAGATTCGGAACCGTCGCAACACTTCTTGAACTCGTACCCATTGCATCGATTCTCTTCTCATTCACAAACACAGGTAACTATCCCCTGCTCTCAGCTATACTCTCAAAACCATGCTAATCAACTCTCAGTTGGTGCAGCACTGTGGGCTGCCGATATCGAAGCTAATAATACGACTATGACTCAAATATCTTCGCCCCAGGTTCAAAAAGAAGCTCAAATTGCCGAGTAAAGGCTCTTCTGCAGCCTCCCGATATTGGCTAAGGTGGTGCAACTATCACCCGGTCTCGATGTCACTTCGTTACTTCGCTTGGGAGATCTAGTGCATCAGCCCTTGCAGTTTCTGGTTGTTGGTAACCATTCGTTTGTCTTTCTGTCGATCTTTGACAGTGAATGTTGCGCGGGAGTTTGGTAGGGATGGGGTGGAAATAACGCATGGCTTGACAAATGAAGGTTGATAATGAATGGTTTGCGTTGCTTTTTTTTTAAAGAATCCAAAATTAACAGTTGATTCTATAATATATGTTATCCTCCACAGTATATTGAGAAGCATTAGTAAGTCCATTATTTCATTGATACATTATTTAGATTAAAGAGAAAGCTAGAGAGTTCATCCGGAAATTCAAAATTCCTCGTCTATTGTGTACTCGTAAATAGTTTCGGATCTTTTCACACAAAGATTCGAGTCATGTTGAAACCGGAGAAGAAAGGTAGGTAGCTGAATACTCTGACTTTGGAGTGGCTGGTAAATTACATGGCATCTGGATTCTGTAATCAACAATACGCTTTTTCGTTTGTTCGTTTGTTATGGAGTTTAATGAGTATACCTAGGCATATTGACTAAGCTGGGTATGCTATGCAACAAGGCTGGCTGTTAGTAAAAGAGAGGCATTTGCACATGCAGAAACGAGAGCTCATCAAGTCACGGATAGGTACATCCTCGGTCGTTGCGTTGTCCTACATACCGTTACATGCGGGAATGCAGATCGCCTACCGTGGTGTGACTTTCAACTTACGGGCCGGCCTTGCTAAGTTTGAATTTGAGATATGAGAGATATGAGAGACAGTTTTATATTGCAATCGCTGAAGAGTGTGACTAGAGATGTGAAATTGGAGAAGTGGAACTGGAGAAGTGGAGAAGAGTTTCTCTTCTTTTCTAAAGTAATGGGGAACTCGGGAACCTGCCATATGATATGGATTGTACCGTATGGTCACAGCATGGATGAAACATAGGGAGATAGGTAGGTGGATAACGAGTCCGAATCTAAAGATTGCAGGTGCGCGAGCTGAGTCTCGCCGGATGTTTTCGATGATGAATCATGATGAAGGATGAGTGCATGGCAATTTGATGAGTATCCATACAAACACCTTTTCTGTGGGATATTTTGATAAAGGAATAATAGTATCTACCAGGTATTATGTATGAAGCCTTTGGATGGGAATGATATGACATCTTAATTGGAGAGGATTATAAAATTTGATGGATACTGATGGATACTTACTTACTTACTTACTGCATTCTTGTCGCTCGCCTACCTGCCTACCAGACCTGACCTGCCTGCTTGCCTATCTTGATCGCTTAGTACCTTGACTCCTTCTTTTCCTGGAAGCGGGATGTGGATCGAGTCGAATCGGAATCAAGTAGGTGAGGGGCCACCCAAAATAGCCAAGGTAAAGTACCGGTAAGGTAATCTTTTTTCATCATTGCATTTGATACGATACCTACCTACTAGGTACTTACTTATCTTTCACCTTTGCCTTAGTGCGCTTTTCTTTTTATATTTCAATCTTCATGCCATCTCTTCTCTCATCTCATCTTCTCTTCCCTCTTTCAACTCATCTCATCCCATCTCATCTCCTTCGACAATCAATCAGTTGTTTCGAATCGACGTTCTGGTCTTCGAGACTTCGATTTATTTGGAGAGACATCCTATGATAAGGATCAACCTGTCCTACTAATCATAATCTCCGTTTGTTACCTACTTCCGCAAATCACACTCGTTTGTTCTCATCATCAAAAGTCAAGTGATAGATCTATCTCAGGTATGTATCATGATTACCCTCCAATCCTTCTTCTTTCTTCTACATGATAGACGTTTCTCTATTCTTTTCGAATCAATTGATTCTTCTGAGATCATCACTGATTCGGTCTCGTTCATATAGATCAAGATGAAAGTCAATATTACCGCTAGACTTGCGTCCAGCGCGTTTATTCTCGCCTTGGTTCCTGCGGCTCGGGCTCTGCCACAATGGCTTCAACCACACCTTCGTAATGCTAATGCCGATGCGTTTGCTCCTCGGGATTATACAATCTATGAGAGGGCAGAGAGTATTCAAGATCACTATACGCCATATGGCTATGGACCTCAGCCTACCTACACAATAAATCCGGTCACAAGTGCTGATCCTGAGGAGACTTCGTCATCCGGAACTCAAATTGGTCAGTCATCAATTTTCTTTATTACTTCTTAAAGATGATATACTAAATGAACCAGGATCTGCTACTGCTTCGGCTTCCGGCTCCTCTGTCAGTGGTATATTATCTACTGGAACTTCCCCCGTTAGTCTCTCTACCGGTCCGGCATCTCTTGATACTTCTACTGTTACTTCTTTCACTGTTGCATATTCTACAATCACGGTTTCGGTTTCAGTTTCGGCGTCTTCTACAGATGCTTCTTCCCCGGCTCCAGCTTCAGCCTCGAGTTATGATCCTGGAAGTTCGGCTCCGGCAACATATACTACCTCTTCAGAGTCTAATGGAAACAGCTCGCCAACAACATCTGCAGGGACATATGAGCCATCTGGTACCACCTCACCGCAATTGACTTCTACCACTCCAAGTACCACTGCTACTGCTCACTGCAATCATGACAACTGTCTTCGTGAATTCATCCGATCTTCTTTGATTGTTGGTCCATTCTGTGCTACATATACTTTGGCCGAAAATACCGCCACTATAAATCTCCCAACATATGTTTCTCAATGTCATGATTCACCTTCAAGAATCTCGTCTGCATGTTCTTGTTTGAACACTGGTGCCGCCACTACTCCAGGAAATGTTGGTAGCAGCACGCCTTCAACACAAACCAGTACCGAAGCCACGTCCCCAGCAGGTGGTGTGCCATCTTCCTCAGTGGTCACAAGTTCTTCATATTCATCACCCACTGGTTCAGAATCCTCCACAAGCCAGGGCTCCTCTGTTACTAGTTCGGGAAGTTTGGACTCTACAGTGATCAGTACACAGACCTACACAGTCACTCCTACCATCACAGTACCATCGGGAAGCCAGACAATCAACCCATCGGGAGGTGAGACAACTACTACACCATCAGGAGAAACTACGACTGCCCCACAAGGAAGTGATACAACAGCTCCTTCATCAGGAGGCAATACAACAACTGCACCTTCTGCCGCCGTTACGACCACTACAGCTGGAGAAACAAACCCAAGTGAAAGCTCGAGTGTTCCTAGCGGTTCGTCCGTGGTTTCGAGTACTGAAACCGCATCTTCCAATTCCGCAACCACTGAATCGGCAACATCTGCGCCCGCAACTTCTACCGGTCCACCTTACACACTTGGAAGTTCATCTATTCCTGTTGGTCCGACTGGTACATCTGCGTCATCGTATATTTCTGCCAGCTCGTCATCTGCAGGCCCATATACAAATACTTCTGCTTCAGCTACCGGCCCTGTCACTTCGGGAAGCTCATCGTATACCCCATCTGGTGGAATATCGCTATCAGCACCTGGAAGCTCGAGTGGTAGTAGTGGCCCTTACACGAATTCGACATCAGGATCGGCTCCAACGACTTCAGTTGGCTCTTCTGGGACTGCACCCTTCACCTACTCTTATCCAACGGGAACTGGGATTTCACCAAGTGGAAGTATTTCTGGGGGTGTTTCGAGCTCCAGTGCTTCGACACCTTTGTACACAAATTCGACCACATTAGCCAGCTCAACCTTCCTCGGCACCGCACCTTTGTCCTCTGGTTCGTCGAGAAGCAGTATATTGTTGACAGGAGCTCCATCATACACTCCTGCATACCCGACATACCCGCTCAACTCGACATCTGTGTCAAGTGGTGCAGTTGGCCCTACGGGATCAAGTGTATCTGGTGGCATTGGTTCTAGCTCATCTGTTAGTATCCCGTATCCGACAGGCAATAATGCTTCGACCACGATTGGTCCAATCGGTACAGGATCTGCACCAACATCCTCCTTCTTAGGAACTGGTACCTCGGGATTTTCTGTCTCAGGCATCATTAGCTCTTCTACGGGATCATCTGTTCCATATCCTTATGGAAATAGCACTTCATATACAGAGGGTCCAACGGGGTCGGGAATAGGGAGTCCAAGCTCAACATTGGGTGGCTTTCCATCCAGTGCTGCGAGTTCTCTATCATCTAGTGTATCAGGAGGGATCAGTTCATCCGTTGGCTCTTATGGACCCTATCCAGTTTATAATGCTACAGCAACAGCAGGCCCTACAAATCCTGGCACCTCGGTATCGGGAGGTCTTACCTCTAGCGTATTCGGAGGTGTTAGTTCATCGCTTCCATCTACTGCACCATATCCGATTTCCAATAGTTCAACAACAGCTGGGCCAACTAATCCAGGTGCCTCAGTCTCTGGTGGTCTTACTTCTGCTACTTCCGCCCCACTCAGTACCGGTAGCTCACCATCATCGAGTGTCTCGGGTGGCATCAGTTCTTCGGTACCATCTTCGCAACCTTACCAACCTTACCCTTACGGTAACTACACTCTCCCACCACTCGGCACGGGTACAGGAGGTGTAACTACATCCACACCTTTGGGAACAGGAAGTTCGAGTACTGGCTCTGGCTCATCTTCGTCGGCTCCTTACCCTACTTCTTCAAACGGAACTTTCACTAGTGGACCAACTGGACCAACAGGAACTTCACCAGTCTCAAGCATTGGTACAGTGCCTTTAGGAACAGGAAGTTCGAGTGCTGATTCTGGATCGTCTTCATCAGTTCCATACCCAACTTCGTCGAACAGCACTTTAACTAGTGGACCAACTGGACCAACCGGAAGTTCGAGTACTGATTCCGGATCTTCTTCATCAGTTCCATATCCAACTTCGTCAAACAGCACTTTATCTAGTGGACCAACTGGACCAACAGGAACTTCACCAGTCTCAAGTATTGGCACAGTACCATCAGGAACAGGAAGTTCGAATACTGATTCTGGATCTTCATCAGTTCCATATCCGACTTCTTCAAACGGCACTTTAATCAGTGGACCAACCGGGCCAACAGGAACTTCACCAGTCTCAAGCTCAAGCCCACCGACTGTCTCAGGTAGCCCAACGACTATTGGCAACGGTACTTCGGTGACTTCAGCTCCATCTACCAGCACTTACAGTCCCATTGAATCTACTTCCAGTCAAATTTCTGGAGGAACCTCGTTGTCATCGTATTCAGCCACTGGCTCATTCAACACTAGTACCGCAGTTTCCCCCATCACATCTTCTTTGCCTTCAGGTAAGTTGAATCTGAAAATCTGTTTGAAATTTTACTGACTTGATTATAAAGGAGGGTTTGGTACGTCGATCACGTCAGCAACATCAACTCCATCCACGTTTTCAACATCCGTTTCGACTAGTTCATATGCTGGCACAAACTCTTCTTCTATCATCTCATCAGCGTCAACTTCTAACTCTGCTCCCTCGGCCATTTCATCCACGAATTCCTCAAGCGCTGCACCTTCCACAAGTGCTTCCACTCCAACCTCCTCCTATTCACCACCACCAAACTATGCTCCTCCACCATACTACGCACCTCCACCACCGCCTAATTACTATGGTTGGGGAACATGGGCCAAAAAGCATCAGAATAGAGATGCCGGTAATGTTCGTCGTTGGTTCTGGTGAGCATTGAGTCCAACACATCGGGCGCTGAGCTCAAACGCAAATTTTCGCTTCTAGACTTGCTTTCTTTTTGACATTTTGATTGTATTCAATCGAGACAGATGTTTTATTCTGCTATCTTATTTTCTTTCTCTATCATGCCTTTTTTTATTTATGTATGGATGGAAGTTGAGGAAGTTGAGGAGGGTCTAGAATGACTATTATGTCAATTAATGCATATCAGCTTCATTTACAGCACAGTGCTTTTATAACCTAGCAAAAATGAGCTGTGAAAGAAGTTAGTTATCTGGCAAGATTGTTCGGAATAGCTACATTTAGATAAATCAATAACATATCAAATCAAATTTCTCATTTGTTTGGGTTGTGGTCCTGAAATGTAGGCCACAATGAAGTGCACTTTTATCTTGATGGATCAGGGGATTCTTCGGTTGTGAGTGACATTGTTGTAATGATGAATTAGTATATGTGCATGTGCTCTCTATATTAACTGATAATTTTTCAACAGTATGTACAGTAGAAAGCATGTAGTTTGAAATATATCTTTCGTGGAATTAAGTGTAGGAATCTTGGAGACTGTGCTGTATTATTTATCGGTGTAACATCGGCTAAAATAATAAAATAATCCGAGGTTATGTGCAACGGCGCTAAAGTACCCCTCCCGCATTCTCACAACAAATGAAAGCTCTCCACTCCATCACGTCCCCTATCAATCCTCGCAGAACTCGATTCCCAACTACAGGTTTAATATTTGGAGGAAAAATATTCAAATCTAAGCAGGATGGCCGATAAAGAAGTAACCGCAAAGGCTGGACGTCCCAGCTTGGGCAATAATATGCGCAGTCGGTCTTACCTTCAAGAACATCAACAATATCGTCCACCACAACAAGATGGTCATTATGGCATAGATAGCATAGTTGAGGGTATTCAAGCGACCGGAATTTCATCTCCTACCAAGTCTTTCACTCCTTATAATGGAGTCCCTTCTCCACAACACCCTCCGAAGATTGTTGACAGTGGGCTGAACCATACCTTGTCACACGCGAACTGTCAACCCGCGCCAGATACAGTATCAGACCGAATGATCGCAACCCTTATTTACAAGACGAGATCTCCTCGTGTTTCAATCACCGATTATCCGCCTGATCGCTCTCCTTCACCACCTTCTTCTCCATCTAGATCATCTGCAACTTCCACTTCCCGCACCATCCCACCAAATCTTGCACCTGTTCGCACACTCTCCAACTTTCCACTCGAGCCACCACCACCAGACCCAGAACCACTCGATCATCTATATGGCAGCTACATCTCACAACTTTGCCTCACATCCTTCCTCCACCTCATTCAATCTCTGCCGACCAGATCCGGTTCCGATTTCCTCTCTTCTTCTCATCGCTGTCTCGACAATCCAGAACATCCTTCGATAGTCGAACTTACATTTTCGCCCATTCCTGATCCTGCATACCTTGATCTTCAAGATCTGCGTAAGCATGAACTTCTCTATCGCTTTGAGCGCGAATGGAATGTCGATGTTATTCTTCAACATGATACCGTACTACGACGTTACCCACGCCTCGTGGTATTTGATATGGATTCCACACTCATCGAGCAAGAGGTTATTGATTTGATTGCTGCCTCTATTGGAGTCGAAGATGCGGTATCTGCCATCACCGAACGAGCCATGAATGGAGAATTGGATTTCTCTGCGTCTCTTCGCGAGCGCGCGAAGTTATTGAAAGGAGTAGAAGCGGATATATTTACACAATTGAGAAGTGTTATCAAGCCTACCAAGGGTGCTGTGGAACTCATTCGTGCACTGAAGAGAATGGGTGTCAAGACTGCGGTTCTATCTGGAGGATTTATTCCTCTGACACAATGGCTCGCTGATCATTTGGGCATTGATTACGCATTCGCAAATACTCTTGGATCTGATTTAACTACCAATACTCTGACCGGTGAGGTTCTTGGCCCCATTGTTAATGCGGAAAAGAAACGAGATCTACTCCTTGAAATTGCGAAGAAAGAAAATGTTTCACTAGAACAGGTTGTAGCAATTGGTGATGGAGCAAATGATCTGTTGATGATGGGGGTAGCTGGATTGGGAGTCGCATGGAATGCAAAGCCTGTGGTCCAAATTGAAGCTCAGGCAAGGTTGAATGGAGATACTTTATTGGATCTCTTGCATATCTTTGGGTTGACGGCTGAAGAGATTCAAAATTTGACTTCATAGGTTGAATAGGTATGCATTGGAGGAAATTAACATGGGATTGTTACGTGTTAATTCGAGGATGCGGAATGGGCGGGATGATGGAGCGAGATGAATGGATTAAGGGGGGGTCGGATGAGGTAGAAGAAATGGTGGATTTGTATACCCTACAAGCTGGGCATTCTTAGGCATAAAGGAGTATGAGAATTATTAACAGGTTTTATTTTTGAAGTTCAACACGAATATCCTATGAGCGATGGATGAGATGAGTAGTACTAGATGATATAATGAGGAATCTTTTTATTTTAACGAATAACTAACTAATCAACCATGAAAACTCCGATTCTGTACATGGATTGATACTATGAGTACATACAGTGGAAACATGATGCATGCACATTCCATTTTACTCACTCGAGTATGATGTTATATTATTTTTTCAACTGTGCAAATCCAAGTAGAATGAATGATTGAACGACTTTTCTTCAACTACTTTGACCTCGAATACTTATATATACAGTGTGTTCCTACCGTATATAAATCGACTTTTTTTGGGGGGGTTGAAAAAAAGTAAAAAAAAAGCAGGTTCTAATTATGATGGATGGATGGATGGATTGGGGAGATGGAGGAGAGATGGGGAGAGATGGGGGAGAGATGAGGAGAGATGAGGGAGAGATGAGGAGGGATGGAGGAGAGATGAGGAGAGATGAGGAGAGATGGGTAGATGGGTAAATGAATGGGATTGAATAAGGTGTTGAGTGTAAGATTGAAATGGGATATCATATAGAATAAAGTGGGTGATATAATAGTTTTAGTATAGATTTATTGATAAAATTCTTTACAGAAATAGTTAATGATGGGATTTCATGTTGATTAGATAACTAGTTGATTATATGGCTAGATAACTACCTACTTGAGTAGTTGAGTGGTTGGTTGGATATTTGGCTATTTGGCTATTTGACTGGAAATATTGGACTGAACATTGAGGAGGGGAGGGGAGGGGAGAGGAGGGGAGAATAAGATGATAATGATGTTGGTTAGAGTTTGGTGTTGGTGTTTAGCATTGAAATTTAGTATTGGAGTTTAGTACTGAGTAATGCACTTCGATATCAGCCCTAATCTTCCAAATCTCTTAGTTATTATTATATACCGGTATACCATATCCTCCCCAATGCAATACAACGCAACACGCCGCTATATATAACTCCTTAAAAACCATCTCGAAAATCCACTCAAAAACCACCTCGAAAATCCTCTTATACCTCAGTATCTCTCTTTCCCTTTGTATATACACACTTTTCGATATACTCATTCATATATATACTTTCTCCAGCACCTATTTAAGTTACTCAATTGCTCTTAAATGAAGTTCCCTAGCTCTGGCTCTGGTATAAGAGGTATGGTATGATATTACTGTATTACTATGTTACTATTACATCTGTTTCTAACATAAATTGATCTAGTGTAGCCAATAATCAGTCAACTAGTTGAACTGAGTGGTGCATTAATTAAACTATCAATCTAATTCGATAATCCCAAACTATTAGTATCAGATTAATTCTATCCTTCAAACTAGTAGTAGTAAGTTTGGTAATTTAGTTTATTGAATCTATGTTCCTATGCTAATCAATTGGTTTAGTTTACTTTATAATACAGGTATTCAAACTGTAGCAGTCAGTTAAAATTTAAACAATAAACTACAGCCTCCCAACCTGCCAGTTTCCTGGCTGGGCTGGTTTGGATAACTGACTATACTTATAATACCGTATTAACTGGTTAGGAAGGTATTATTTATCGATGTATACTAGTTGGATGATAGCGTTTGGTTCTATGTTACCAAAAAACTTTTCAATCCTCTATAACATATTAATGATATAATGGTCACGGTATATATTAATAATAAAATGGTCATGGTATAATATAAAATAAATTTGCCTGTCCAGCCGGTATATCTGTACATTCCTTCCCCTTCTTTATTCCATATTCATATCATCTCCATCATCATCACCATCCATTTCATTATCAAAGTCAGAGAGATCAAGAGACCTATCAGAATCTGTGTCATCGTCGGTGCATGTAGTAGTTTCATTATCTGAATCGAAATTCCCAGATATTCCACTTGCTCTTTCCTCTACAATATGATAAGTTACTGTACGAAAAGCTCTACGCCTTGAAGTCATCTGAGAGGAGGGGAGAGTATTAAGAGTATAAGCATCAGTCACAATGGCCTCGTCTTCAACCTCCTCTTGGGTTTCAAGAATAGGGAGGGTATCGATTGCGGGTGAAAGAGTTCGGGAAAAGTCCCCAATTTCAAAATCTGGTAGATCTCTGATTTTTAATTCATGGTCTTCAGAACCATCAGGATTTAAAGATAATCCTAACTATTAGATTTAAAGTTAGCAAGAGAACATATAGAAAAGAACAAAGGAAGGCAAGGATAAAACAAAGAGGAAGGGAAAGAGAAAGAAGGAGGGGGAAGGAGGGGAATAAAAAGAAAAAGGACTACTTACATGCCGAAATATCTTAACGATTGTACTCTGATATTCCTCATGAAACTGTACCCAAGCTTTCCCAACCCATTCTGTCAAAAGAACTCGACGCTCAGCTGTTGAATACTTTCCTGCTTTCCATTGTTCAAGATTATTATCATAATACTCCTCTTCAAGATTTCGAATTAGATCTTTCATAGTCTTATTGACAGAAACATCAAGCACTTGTATATAACCGGTAGTACCCCCGGGAATGATAGAAGTAGTCATATTGAGGTCCTTCAGAGTTTGTCGAAGAAATATTACATCAAGAATACTCTTTTCCCGAATTTGACGTTCAGAGACCGATTCCTTTACCTTGATTTTGCGACCTTGTCCTTTATGAGCGGCAAAAGAGTCTAGAGTCAATAGACGAGGTTTATTCTCAGTAGGAGATTCCATAGTAGACCATTTGTACTGGTTTTTGAACCATTTCAGAAGCTCCTTAGCGTTGTAATACCCCTTAGGGTTGAAAATGATATCTACCCCTTTGTGATATTTCTTGAGCTCTCGCTGTCGTATCTTATTACCAGAATTTTCTACCCCTCTGAATATAATAAAAGATTTGCATCGAGGAATGTTATTTGTAGAAACCACGATTTGTAGAGTAGCTTGACATTTTTCCCATCTGCTTTTACTCTCCTTCAAAAATACAATATTATTGTCTTTGTGATTGTAACTCTGTTCTGTAGATCCAAATTCGAAAGCAAAAAGGGTTTGATCCATATTCGCAATGTTCGAGAGGAGAAATCGTCCTGATACACTCAAAAGTTAGTGATATATAAAAGGGGGAGTGTCCAAAATAATGAAAATGCAGGGTAAAAGAGGGATAAAACTTACCAATTCTAGGGTTATTGATAAATTCATTCAATGGATTTCCAGCATCAGAATTATTGTTTCGAATAGTGTTACGCCTGTTGAACTGATACCATCGCTGAATGACTTGTCATAACTGTTCTAGATCCTTTTGGGCACATTTCGTTTTATAGCGGAGAGAGATTCGATATCGATAAAGAAATACTGAAAACCAGCAATTAGAAAACTTGAATTTTAGATAGATCTATCTCCCAGTTGCCTCTTTAACATGTATAACTTTCAAAAGGTAGAGATCCTGATAAATCTCTTTAGTGTAGCGAGTAAACCAGCGGTGGGTGATATGCTTTCCGATGGTTCTATGAAAACAGAACTTATCGTAGAGACGCTGCTTCATGATAGGGCGGGTGCATTGGCGTGTATTGAAAGTCCTGTGGGATCCTTTTGGAGAGTTCACAATCGATTGTTCCTTCGAAAGCCAGGTGGAGAAAAGGGTAGCAGTGATTCCAAGAGTTTTTGCTATATAGTATATAGTATATAGTATATAGTAATCGGTATCATAGCATTGTCTTTAATCTTCCTCCAGGTATATCGGTAGTATTGAATAGCTCTGAGTTTAAACTCACGGGGGTAGGAGGAACGTGTGAAAGTACCGGTTTCGAAATCACCTTCTTGATTTCGGAAATGATGGAAAGCTTTTACAAGAGCTTGTTCGTTGATTCCATCAACCCAATGGCGACGTTGTCTGTCGATAAGAGGGGGGACCTGAATGCTGCGAATATTCGGCTTAGTCCCAGGACGATTTCGAGGGACAGGAGTACTGTCTAATAGAGTGGTTTACCCATTTTCGGGTTCGCTTGGTAGAGGTTGATGAGTGCGAGGTCTCCCAGGGTATTTGTGTTGATTAGCAATTTGGGTATTGTGACGTATTTGCTCTAAAGAGAGCTGGGAGAGCTGGGAAGACATAATGTGAAGGTAGAGAAAGAGAATAAGGAGGAGGAGGATATATAGTAGAATATAGAATGGAATGAATGATCGATATTTTGAATAGGTTCTATAGAGAGGATCTATCAATTTATATAACAATCTATAGATCTAAACTTTTAAATCACTCAAAATACTCTTTTCCATTTCGAGATTTTTTACTAGGTCTTGACATTCACATATATTCATATCCAATTATCTTTTGAATCCCTAGATCTTTTTGATTCTTTTAAAAAGTATATGAAACAGTATGAAAAACGATATATGAATCTGAGTCGCGATTATACGTGTTGAATGTGTAAAAGTGGTAGATAGTCATCGTAGTAAGGGTAGTGGCGTCTTGCCGAGCCCAAAATCAGGGGGGTAAATTTTCAGATCATCATATTAAATTATCGATTTTGACTCTACCATAGCATCAATGGTTTTCAGAACAATAAATACGAATGCAGGAAATGCTTGAAAATGCCTATGCGTAGGTTCAGCTGGTAGGGGTTCATTTTAGAGGTAAGACAGCTCCCTGGCCTCAAAATATGACGATATTTTTAGCAACCTGGATGATAAGGTATTAACTCTATGATAACGTATGGTTTTTCCTTATGGAAATTCAGACTTTTTCATTATAAGATAATATCTTCCTAACCAGTTAATACGGTACTGAGATATATAATGATTGATCACAGTGCATTGCACTGCGTATTTACCTCTACCGCTTTTGCGGGCTTGGATTGGATTGGATTGGCTTTTGCTATAGTATAGTATATCGTGGATTATGGATTGTATATCATAGAGTTCTCCTGTATCAACGCTCGAGTTCGCATCCGGAAATAGAGTCCTTGGCGTAGATACGCGAGAACTACCGGTGCTCGCTTATAAATTAAAGGGAATCCCGAGTTTGGATAGAGATTTGGAGATCTGGAGTCCCTGCGTAGGAATATAATTTCGTGTTTTGGGTTGGTTTGTATGTGTATATGTATGTAGGGACTGGATGGACGGATGGATGCATTATGTTGGCTATCTCGAAAAAATAGTAGTGGGTAGTGGGTGTGAGATACGTTGCGCTGGCGAAATGGAGTGAAATGGAGCGGTTTGTTGTGCTGTGCTGTTTGGGGGTTTGGTTGGTTGGGGTGTGTGGGTGTAGGGTATAGGGTGTAGGGTAGTGAGATTGGAGATTGGAGATTGGAGGGGAAGTGGGAAATCAGAAAATTGGGAAATTGTGTGAGGAAAGAATGGAATGCGCATGCTGATTTGGCTCGTGTAGCCTCTATAGGGTTATCCGACTAGAGAATGTGGCGGCTCACGCCTAGCGTGGTTCATATTAGTCTATTAGATGAAAGTATCGGCGTTGTCGATGTTTGAGAGATTGTGGTTGTGGTGTTTTTGTATATAGGTGGTGGAATATGTCATGTTTCCTTGGATCCTGGGATAGGCTTCGCTCAATTCTTTTACTTCGTCTGCGATGACGGCATGGTTCTACGTCTGGGTTCATTAGGCCATATCTTATACCTCTGCCCACAGACTCCTTCCAAGGAGCCGTAAATGGCAAATACGCAAAAATGGAACCTAGGTACTCCGTTTCATTCCTCTTGGTTAAACATTGAGTATCTGTTCGCTATCACCGTTGTTGAAATATTGATTTTTGGGTAAAATTCGAACATGAAATTACTGCTAATCTTCACTGTGTAAAGCGATGAAAGGAGCGTTGGTTGGGGTATATTGGTGTTGATAATATGAGAAAGGGAGAGGGAATAAAACATACTAAAATCAAATATCCATTATGCTTTCAAACTCGGGTAATGGAGCAACTCTTCTATTAAGATATTCTTCATACCCCGACATCCCTCTGTTTCGAAATTGGGGCGTCAGTGATTATTTATCAAAGAAAGATACATTTTGGAGGAATTGATGAGAAGGGGGAATTGGAGCTGCATCAGGAAAATGACATGGATGCGCAAGGGGAAACACGGATTGGGGAATAGAATTGGGTTTGAGAGAGATGAAATGCTAAACATATTACGAACCTCTGCGAAGCTGTAAACATCTTTCTACGAATCATTCTGGTCGGATATATTGGTCCATTCGATTGGATTGCCTAGGCTAGCTATATGGCGGTCGGTACCTGTCGTTATCATGGCTTGAGAGGAGAAACCTTGATGTTCACCGGGGACTAGCTGTTGCGGATTGAGAGAGATGAAGATAAATACTCTCAAGATAATTAGACAGGACACCGAGGAAAGCTTCCAAAGGAACCTGGGAATACAAAGTAGATTGGGACGAGCATGCAGGAGATGAAATATACGAAAATATGTATAGTAGACATCGAGGAGTACTTTATGGAATGGAATGAAAGAGAGAGTATACTCACCATGCAGCAGGAGCAGCAGCATGGAAATTAGTAAGGCGCATTCCGTTTCGGTCGATTTTGTCGATGTCTGGAGTACAGATTTCGCTGCCAGAATAAGAGAGGTCTGAGTAGGCGACGATTATGAGAAGTTGGGATGTTTGGAGGATGGGATTGGGTGAGTGATAGAGGGGGAAAAGCAAGAAGAAAGGCGGAGATGGAGAGATGAGGAGGATATGGAAGGACTTCCATAGGAAATTTGTTTGCTTGTAATCACAGAAACCTAACAAGAGAATAAGAAATCTTACCTCGAGCTCACTCACATATGATTGTACTCACAAGATAGATGATGGTACTGTATCGCCTATGACCAAATTACAAACCATCAGCGGCGTCTCGTCGTATTATAACCCACAGGTAGTCGTAAGGCATTGAATTAAATCCTTCCCATGATTGAAGCAGAATCGTGAATCCGCCTGTCTTTACATTGATTACCGATACATACGCAATAACACCTAGCAGGTAATCCTATCTCGAACGACGTTACAGCTCTTCGAAAATATCATTCAATTATCTCATCCCATGCTAATTACAAAAACCGTAACCTTGACTGCGCTAGTCTTCTCCTCATTGGGCTTCGCTAAACCTGACCACACTAGATTTTGAGCCTATCACCAATAAATTCTCATCCCGCAGTACCACGGTACTAGCATAAACACACCAATCTAATCTCATCCAACCACATGATAATTAGACACACCAAAAACTAAACTAATGCACCTAGCACAATTTCGCTTGCGCAGTCCAATAAATAGATCATCTCCCCCTGTCATTCTTCCCCGTACTTTGGACATCAGTCGTCGAATTGGATATGCTTGCTAAGACGTGATTTATGCTTGTGATGAGCACATGAGGACATGAGATAAGCAAATATATACCTTCCAGACGAAACTCACAATGATATTATTTGTTATGTGATTAGATCATTTCATGTTATTTTGAAGAGAAGCAGGTAGATGACATGAAGAACTCAACACTGGGCAAAATTAGAGCATATTGGCTAGCAAGCGTGGTTTGTATGGGGGGATTTCTGTTTGGTTATGATAGTGGCATGTGCGTACCCCTTCATTTCTTTACAGTACTCGCGTACATGTTTGCGTGCTCAGTTGATGGATTGATACTGACACATGCATTTGATCGTGATTAGCGTTGGTTAGTCTATCGCGACGAAGTCACCATACTGATACTATATATAAGTATCAATAATAATAATAAATAGGCGGTGTCCTAACCCTTAAATCCTTCGTTCATGATCTCCAATATTCTACCGATCATGCAACTCGTGTGAGCTCTCTTGCCGTCGGCCTGCAGCAAGCAGGTGCTTTTGTGACATGTTTCTTTATATGGCTTGTTGCGGATCGCATTGGAAGCAAACTTTTATTGCAAATTTCGGCGTCTATATTCATTGTTGGTGCTGTTATGGAAACGGTCAATTCTCATAGTATGGCGGTGTTTTATGTGGGAAGAGTTATTGTAGGCGTAGGTCTTGGGGCTGCGAGTGTAGTTGTACCGATGTTTAATGCGGAGATGACGCCAAAGGAGTTGAGAGGACAGATTGGGAGTTTTTTTCAGTGGTTTTATACTTTTGGTGGGTCGGAATGGAGTGATAAAGATGCGCTCATATGGACATTGACGTTGGAATAGGAATTTTTACTTCGTACTGGGTTGATTATGCCATGGCTGAAGTGGTTTCCTCTGTATCTAGACAATGGCAAATACCGATTGGTCTCCAAATCATCCCCGCTGGTATTCTCGGTTAAGAAATGTTAACTTTGAAGGAAAGTACTCGCTAGCTTACGAAAAAAGGAAGACATGATGAGGCGTGAGAAAACTTAAAATGGATCCGATCATATGAACCGCAAGCCACGATTGAAGAAATGGAGGAGATTCGTGCTGGTGTTGAAATGGAACAGACAGATACTATAGGATTTCGTATCAAGGGTATGATTTTGCCAACTTTTTTCTGAGAGAAGAGCGTGGAGAATAACTTCTGGAAGAACTTGGCGGAAGAGATAACTTTAAACGAATGTTCACAGCCTCCGCAATCTTCGCAACTCAACAAGCTACCGGAGCAACAGCATTTGCCTACTACGGACCTGAATATTTTAAACTCGTCGGAGGTGGGAATAAGGACTTGCTGCTAACCGCCATCTTTGGTGCAATTAAAATCGTCGCCTGCGGATTATTCGTGCTCTTCCTCTCCAATCGTATAGGTCGACGAGCGGCTTTGATCGGAGGGGTCATCTTCATGGGCGCTTGTCAGATCACAACTGCGGTTGTCGTCAAAGAACTTCCAGCTTCTAAAACTGCAGGTGTTATAAGTAGTGGTATTGCGACGGTGGCTCTTATCTATATTTTTGTTATTGCATACAATCTTTCGTGGGGTCCTCTTCCTTGGCCTTATGTATCTGAATAAGAACTTTCTAACAGTGGGCTTCCTTACATTTTGCTAACCTCCAATCTAGGTTCTTCCCCACGAGAACCAGAGAACCGGGCGGGTATTGCAATTGGAGTTTCATCCCAGTGGCTTTTCAATTTCGTCTTTTTCGTTGACAACTCCATATATAATTGAGAATCTCGGCTGGTAAGTACCTTACCAAATCAACACCCAGTTTTTGCAGCGTAAATGTCTGACATCAAACCTAGTGGTACATTCTTACTTTGGGGTCTCTTCGATGCTATTATTGCTATTGTATCTTTCTTCTTCCCGCGAGAAACACAAGGATTGAGTCTTGAGGAAATTGCACATAATGATTATGGGAGGGCAGCGACGTTCAAAGAGGATGCTGAATTAGTAGAGCATGGACTCACGAACAATTATAGTTCTGCGTCTAAATAAGGATGTTAGATTTGTGCATATCTGATGGTAATGAATGAGTTCCGATTTCAATGATTATTGGGAATATTGGGATGTAATGTAAAGTTTTGGCTCGACTCGGGTTTGGAATCACACAACAACACTTCGAGACTATATCAGGACTTGGAATACACTATGATTCAGTACTCAGTCTTTATATACTATACGACAATCCCAAATTTCAGCAACCCGAAAGTATGTCGCCTACAAGATGAACGAAAGCATAGAAATATCGTATACTAGACTATACACTAGCAAATAGTAGCGAATAGACGGCAATTGAATTAGGTCATATATAGACGACTACCTCATAACTCAATAATTACTCTAACTTCTTATGGTTGTCGAAGTATATACGAATAGTAGCTGAGTTATTTTCCAGTAATCGAGTATTACTGTTTATGATTTTATTTGTGATTGAGTTGTTATCTAACTGATAGTTTATGATATTGGATATCATTTCGTGGTTAATACCAACTTGTTATGCTGTTCTGCGGATAGTAAGATAGCATTCTACGATACTAAAAGGCACGTGATGACTCGCTACCCCTTTGATCGCAAACAATCGGGAATTTTGAATTGAGGTTTTGAATTTCGAGTTTTGATTTTTGGAATTGAGATATCGAAAACTTGTCAGTAAATAGCAGAACTCGCATTCAATACTATCAATAAATAAATATTATTACTGTTTCTTACCGAATCTGACGTGATTCTTACACCTAATATAGGCCAATTTCATCAGTGAGTGACATTACTTTTTTTCATTTGACTCTTCATCCGGGCCTTAGTGTGAGCAATAATTTCGATATAGATAATGTACGAAGGGGTGTCTTAATTGTGGTGGAATTGAATAGGGCTAAATTTGAGAGGGTAGGGGGTAATATGGCGAATGTGGAGATCTTCGCGAAGGGTAATGGGTAGGGACTGGGGCTGTAGGACCTAGCAGGAGCAATGTTGGTCTATTTGAGGGCGATCATGAATTCGAGAAAACTGAAGTCGTATTCTCCGGCAATACGTGGCTGTACAAAACCAGATTTTCAAACAGTCCTGTTATATCATATTACATCAATGTGGTTTTGTATGTCAATAATTCCTCCAAGGATTTTAATAGAAACTTTGGATTTCACTGGAAATATTTGATCACAGCCTATGTGGCTTCAAAATTATTGCGATTAGGAATCTGAAAGGCACATAATATGATATGAAAGGAGAACCTTTCGAGTTTAATGGTCATGTATTATTATTTTATGTCTTGATAAAAATCACCATTTCAATCGTGTACCTTAAGCCAACGCAATATATCTTGACAATTATAACTAAGCAAAAATAGCCAGAGTTTTGCGATCTCTCATTATTTAAATGCTACATATCCGTTCTCTCAATTATACTTAAGAGTAGACCCTTCACAATCACCCCACACATAGCAAAGACTCTCGAGTCGAGAGTCTCGACTTGATCCATGTTAGTCAGATAGTGTGCCAGCGAACTACAACAGTGCTGTTCATTATTATCATAATTAACATTAATTAGACGTTCTGCCGACCTAGGATTCGACATATCTGCGGCATGTAGACAGTAGATTCACCCCCTTTGTACTTATGACCTTCCTTACTTTAAGCCCCTAGCTAACATTGACCCAAATCTCGATATATGCTGATAGTGCAATGAAAGAGTACAATAACTCTTCTTATTTCAATTGTACAGTAAACAATAACCAATCGCCATTGTATGATCGTATCATACCACAACATATTTTCCAATCCCGTTATATTTCAGGCCCTGTCCCTCTTTCCCTTTCCGTTCTCAAATACATTACGCATCCTCATCCTGGCATGCTGTTTTCGAGTTCTCCTTTCTACATCTGCGCCCCACCCTAATAAGCAATATCAATTAGATGTTGTAGTGACGTCGTCTGCGATGTCACTGGAGCGTATGCATATTCTCGTTTAGACTTAGACCTGTATCCTCCCATGTATGTATCTTGTTTGATATGCTGCAGATCGTGATATATTTTTCTGCTTTTGTTAGTTATCTCGCATTTGTGTCCCAATTCCTTGCACACTTCAGAAATTAGACGTCTGATTTACCTCGCATTCAACAAAAATGCGGAAGATTCACCCTTCCACATATACCTCAGAATACTTCTCCCGTCTGCATCCTTTGCTTGATATCTTTATCCATCTTGGCATGCTCATCTCATCTTCTCTCATCTGCCCACCTCGTTTGACATACCATAGATTGTTAATTGACATAGAGTTGCTTCTCGCATTGAAACATATGCGACCGTAGCTTGACGATACCTTTGAAATCGCCGCTTTTTGGATTCAGCTCCGTCAATATTCATCCAACCGTCCTGTAGAAGCTACAAATGACTTCGCTAAGTAATGCGAATCTGAAGCCAGGGGTATCGTTGAGATGGTGAATGAGAGAAGCGCAATTCTGTCACTGTGTGAGCTACAAGGAGGAACTGTCGATGCATGATGGCGAAAACTGGAGGTGAACAAGTGGGTGTTTGTGTCACAGCAGTCGCAGACTAGTGAGGATGATTGAGGAACCTGCGAAGTCTCAATGAGCTGTCAGGTGGAGGTAATATGAATGGTCACGGGATATGAAAATTTGAGAGAGGTTCATGATTGCGAAATTGCTTTCCATAAGGAGTTTCTGCTGCCCACCATGTATATGCAGATATTTCTTTCTCTCTTTGAGTCCTCCTTCGTAGTTCTCATCCATTCTCCTCTGCCTTTTGATATACTCTTTTAGTGCCTGCCATCGCGTTCTTTGTTTTGCTTTGGGTTTGCACGTTTTGGTACCCTCGAGTGAACAGTAGAAAGACGATGAGAATGAGCGAGGACGAAGATCTGTAATATACGAAGTAGCTGTAAGAGGGTCGACCCACACAAACGGGTCTGCAGGCATGTCAGTCATGGCATCTACAATGAAAAGTAAGTAGTTCCTGCTCATCATGTAAAGAGAGTTCAGATTCTTTCCTCCCTTTGTCCCCTTCTCCAGGGATTCTACTTCTTCTTCTGCCATCAAATCTGCGATTCTCGCATACAACCTCGACCTCTTCGTCATATGTTGTCTATCCGAACTTCTTGGGCCTCGTAGGTTTTCACGACGGTCGCATCAGATGCTGCCATGATATGCTCGACGAGAGTAGTATACGGACTGGGCTATCAAAAGCATGTCAATATGCATCAAGCTCCTGGATAGTCGCGTGAAGGGATAGATCTTGGCGATGATTGACGGCAGATAGATGCATCTACATATCCATGAATTCGCACAAATTTGAATCTGGATACAACACAGGGTATAACTTCGATGAGCAAAGAGGCACAGCGTTCGAGAGGAGACTGTAGGTCGCGTCTACTCATGAATCGAAATAAGCACCCAGTCTATGATTACCTCGGGAATTTGAAAATGGGATATCAACAACATCACTAATAGCAAATAAAGAGACAGGGAAAGACTCCCCCAACTGGCTCAAGGGATCGAATGAAGCTCAGTTCTTGTTTGTCAAAAGTCGCGTGCTATATATAAATAAACCTGTCGCGGCAGCAACGGTCTTGACGCCAGTGTTGTACGGCAAAAACACCGTAACAAAACTCTAATTTTGTCATCCGAGACGTTACCGAGGTCGCGCTAGCAATAACGATATATCGCGTTAGTAGTATATCCTCAATACTCCCTCATGCATAAATTGATCCTCAACCTAGAATCTTACAACATAATTTCTTCACAAGAACATCTTTGGATAACCAGATTCCTTTCCAATCGTCTCCATTCCACTCACCTGATCCACTCACAAGTCACACTAAAAGGTACCAGCCGTATACACAATCAGCGACTTGTGTACTTTGGAGTATCTGGAAGGTATTTCAACACCAGAACACATCCAAAAACCTTCTCCCTTACTTTCCAAACAACAACCCTTTTACTTGACTACCTTCATCCACCCTCAACTAAAGTACCTCTTCAACTTGAGTACCTTTCCACACAATAACCTTACATACAACTACCTTTTCAAATAACTTTTCATACACCTTCCCACCCGAATACCTCCATCTCAAGCGTCCACCCGTAGCAGCGCACTCCACCATCAACCACCAAAGGTTAGCAACACACTTGTAGTTTATCTATATCTTCATAAGAGATCATCGAGACTACTCCATGAACGAAGAGCTGACCTTTTGATGCAGAAAGTCCGACAACGATTTTCACAAACACAACACTTAACAAATTTCAAAAATAATAGGTGAGATATATACTCGGATTTTTGATACCCTATCTCATTCAACTATTACATCCTCTCCATCATCCCTCATCTATTCTCCCTGTCTTCTTCTTTGGGTGCTTCTGTCACCTCTAATCTCCTCAACAACTACATTTACTCTTATTCTTTCAAGTCTCATGTATTTTTCCTCACCCTCCCTCACCTCTCTTCAACATTAACCTCTTCAATCCTCTACTAAGGTCTAGGAGGTTTGTTTTTGAGATCACAATACAGTCTTTACTTAAAGTCAGTACATTAGTTCTTCGAATTCTTGCTGACTATCAAGACAAAAACAGAAACTTTTAAAATGCCCAAAAACAGTCAACACGCGCAGTGGCTTACCGCCTACTTCAACCAACTCCCCAATGCTGCGGTTTTGCCACAAACAACCCAGCAAATCGCGAACGATTGCAACACGGCAATCGGAACGACCCAAGGCATAGATGGTGTCGATTCACAGATCGTCGGCAGGTACGACCAAACCCCTTTTTCCGTTAACGAGTATCTATGAAAGCTAACATGCATGCAGGCACATTAGCGAATGCCGAAGGAAGGCCGCCAATACTCCCCGAGCCACCCGGATGACCCCAGGGCAGAAACAAGTACTCGACCAAGCATACAGTCAGAGCGCTTATCCATCCCCAGGGGCTAGAATGATAATCATGCACCAAACGAACCTGACCTACAAACAGGTCAAGAATTGGTTCGAACAAAAGGCTAAAAACGTCAAGAGGCTCCGCCAAGCACAACCGCAAGGTGCAAATGGCTCCAACCCACAAGTTGCAAATCGCTCCAACAGAAATGCTACCCAAATGTGGAAAGCATACAATGCCGATCCCGCAGGGTATGTTCAAAGATTGTTAAACGGCACAATAAGCCTTGTTGACGGCAAGGCCATTGCTGCTCCAAATGCAAACGCAGTACGCAATGCGATTGCACTGAGCACAATTAACAACTTGAATGCCCACCTGGGTCTCGGGCTCAGGAGACCCGGCGCAACTATTGGAGCTGATCTTCAATATCAATCTGGCAACCAACCTGGACAATATGGTAACCAACCCGGGCAAATGTCAGGGCAGGCACAAGGCCAACAGAGCAATATACTGCCGGCCCAATCTATCAACTCGGGCCTTAATTACTTCGGAGCAGGATTCAGCTACGCCGTGAACGAAGCCCAACATACCGGTCAGCAAAACCGGCAACAAGCTGTTCAGCCGGTCCCAGATATGACATATCCTAGGGTCCAAAATGCACAACCAGGATTGGGCGATCACAGTGATGAGTCTTCGGCAGACCCATACAGCGGTAGCATGTATGCCAACTACCAGGCCAGCATCCCAGGCCATCAACATGCGTTCCAAAGCTATCAAATGGCAGGGGAACATCAACAAGCTCAACAGAGCAAGAGCGAGCACTCGCTCGATGACAACTGGGGTTATCAAGTACCACAAGATTTTACCCCATATAGGCAGAGACGTTTGGCTCCTTTTGAGGGGCAAATGAACAACACCCAGCTGATAAATCAGCAACCTCAGACGATGTCAAAGACAGAGTCTGCATCACCATCGGGGAAGAGAAAGTCGGTTGGAGAGGATGAGATGTCCAGCGCTGGACATTCGAAGAAGAGAACCCGGGTCCAGAGACCATTAAGGCCGATGCCATCTCTGGAATACCAAAAGAGACATGGATTTGACATCACCGCCGATGGTATTGTCGGAGGAGCAAACAGCTCAATGGCAGCCTATAACGGACTGGCCTATGATAATGGTGACTTTTCGGGACGGCAACTCCCACCTGAATTCCCACCTGCCTTCCCACCAAACTTCGAGGGCAACGGCAGATGGTGTAAGGGGGAGTCAGCTACGGGGTCAGATACTGTAAGTTCAATCGTCTCTTTCATTTTGTACTCCCCAGCATCCAACTCTGTATAAACTTTTCATCTTCAGCATCCCTTTCACTTCCTTCAATTTACAGACATATATGGTTCCTCATTTTCCCCTGAGAACTTTCCCTTATAGGCAATTGCTAATACTCAAATGTTGTAGGCTTCCAATCGCCAAGTATTAAATGCATACCCCGAATTTCCTAACGCGAAGGATGGTTTCAAAAATGAGACCAATCGTGGTTCCGAAGAACCACCTGCATCTGTGACTCCTAGACCTAGATATACGAGTCCAACCCTCCAGGCCTCCGGCACACCAAACGTTGCCGACCACCAATACGAGTATCCCGACCCAGAGTCTGCGAGCAGCAGCGGCAGACCTTCACCGCAGGATACTTCGAATGTCTCTGCTGGAGCTCAAGATGCACCTGCAAGTCCAGAAAGAGCAACTAAAATCCCGGAGCTTGCGACCTCCTTGGCGGATATTCCTGACCTTCCACAGGACTTTGGAAACCTCGACGATGACGACTACCGGCTAGCTAGAGCCTTGTTGGCAGAAAATAATGGCAACCTCGGGGATTTTGACTTCGGTATCTCTGCCGTTGATCCCAGCCCAGCCAATCCGAGCGCCGGCTCCCTTGATGATTTGATCGATCCTAAACTCAAAAGGTTTCGATGAAGTCCCCAGTGAGGGTAGGGACTCAAAATCGCAGGCTCACGGCGAGTAAGGTGATTCCATGGAGTTCAAAATACAAGATGTGAAGAAAAGGAAAAGCGATCTAGGAAATGATTTATTTGTGGAGATGTTTACGCTAGGTTCAAAGGCACTCGGCGGAGATTATGTAAAATTCAAAATGGTGTATCAGAGCAGAAAGTGTACTAATAGATCTTGTGGAGATAGCCTTGATCCCTTTGCGATATATACCAAAGTTACACAGTTTATAGTATAATACCAATATTTAATTCAGATACATAATACACCAGCTCAAATGTGATTTCCACTTTGTTCATTCTTAACTTCAAATTGCATGCATACTGGATTTCATAATGTTACCCGCATTTTCAATTCCAGAATAACAGTTCGAGCATTGTTGGCTGGTTTTGACTTCTTTGGAGACACTTAGACTGTGTATACGATTGTCAATGAGAATATGAAAAAAATGAGCTAAAGCCGTCCAAGTCACCTAGAGATTGTTTTAACGGTCGTATGATTGCCTATGAAGAGGAAACTATGAATGTGGAGATTTCAATTAGTCCTGTCTAATGAACACTGAGCGCAAATCAGGCCAACACGAAAGAAAAGATGTCTTAATCTTTTCTTTCGTGTTGGCCTGATTAGAAAACCTTTGAAACTCCATCCCGATGCTCTATTTGGCTTGCCAAACTTTTGGTTGCAACAATAGGTTTGTTCTCAGCCTTATCCCTATCTTTAAAACAGTAGAATAAGGATAATAATAAGGTTAATAATTCGCGCAGACTAGCGCGGCGCAAATTACTCTGGTTGGTCGACCCTATTTTTATAATATTCTTTTTGGAGAACAGAAGCGGTAGAGAATGAATCTGTGATAATAACCCATGACGAAATCTTATCAATCTGTGTTTATTCCAATTTCTACTTCCCCCAAACCTGTGAAAACAAATCTACACAACGTTAACTTTTTGATAACCATATTTGTATTGACCATCAACTTCAATAGATCTACAACCTCAAACTTATGACAACCACTTTCCTACATCAGCTCGAGGTAGAGGCAAGTCGGTATTCGGATTCGCCAAATAAATTCACCAAATTAGCATTTTCTTGCTATCTCGAACCTTTTTGGTGTACACAAATCGCATCACAAAAACCCCATATTTCGCTCACATAAGTGCTTACACTAATAGCGCAATAACTCCATTTCAAGATTGTCCTAGAACAACATCAGAAGAAGGTTAGAAACCCTCCCACCAGTATATGCTTATGGATGCTGATCGAGTTTGGTTTAAATGAAGTGCTGAGCTAGATCAATAGCAACGAAACTCAAAAAAGAAAAAAGATTCGATACGAACAGTCACCAACGCAACTAATAGAGCTTCTTCAAACATCTAAATCGGTATGCAGGATACCTATTGATCTACTGCTCTTCTGAACAACCACTAAGTGTTTAACCATACAGTCAAAATGCCAAAGAACCAGAACCACGAGATTTGGCTCAACAATTATTTTGACCAGAACAATGTCAACGGAGAACTTTCCGAAACTAGCCAAGAGATCGCCGACAAATGCAACGCGGCATGTGACACGAAATTGTTCAAGAGGGGACCAGCACCTAAAAACCGACTGATAATGATCGATGGTGTTGATTCGCAGACTGTAGGACGGTGAGAATTTGCTTCTTTTCTTACGCTCGTTCAAGCTCAAGGGCGATAACTAATAGTGTATGTAGACACATGGGCGAGCGCAAAGCCAAAAAGGATGATCAGCCGCGAGCCATACGTCGCAACAATGAAGAGGTGAAGAAGTTTGAAGCTGTGTACAAGATCAGAAGTCGCCCATGGACAGGTGACAAGATGCTTTTGATGGACGTAAATAATATAACCCACGACAAGGTTAAGACCTACTTTGAAGAGAAAGCCAGGCAGGAAGCCAAGAAAGCGAAGAAAGCTGGCGGGCAGCAGCTACAAGACTGGCAGGATCTACAAAGCTCAAGGGTTCGCTCAAACAAATATGCCTACAAGATGTGGGCAGAGTACAAAAAAGATGAGGCGGAGTATGTGCGAAAGTTGAAGAATGGTTTGATGAGCCTCGAGACAGGCGAGGTTATCGAAGGAAACTCGAGCGAGCATCCCAGCTCAGTATTGAATCCAAACAACGGGCACTTGCTAAGCATGGACGACGTTGACCGTTCCGTGGAAGCTGTCGAAGAAGGTGCCAACGAGGTTGTAAATGAGGTCAGCAATGAAAGTGCTCATTCTATGGGAATTAGCATGGAAAGTGTGCCTGATACTCGCAATAGATATGGCTCAACGACTAGTCCCTCTAAGTACCCCACCCGCCAAAATAATTTTCCTCCAATCAAGGGCCAGGATAAGGAGAGTGTGGACCAGAAGAGATTGAGCGATACAAATCGCAGTGTTCAAAATGTTGGCTCGCAGATGAGCTTCAATGACAACAGCTTGGGTACAGGTAGCTCAAGTGACAAACACTTCAGTCAGGATCCAGAATCTTATGATGACCGGCTTGATGCGCCACAGCCGAAGACAAACCTTTCGAAGGTTAAAACTTTCGCTTTCCAGACCCCGTCGGATGGTGGTGGACATATTCCGGGACTCATGCAGCCCTCAACCAGCTATGTGGTCCATCCAAGTCACATCGATACCATGCACATGGGCCTCCGAGCAAGTAATCGCGATCGATCGAGCAACATTGGTGGCAGCAGATTAGATGGAAGTGGATGGCAATACCGGCGGAAAGAACAATCTGCTATTTCCCAAGCACAAATTAAGGGATCTAGCCAGGTGGACTATGAGGTTCAGGATATCATCGAATATCCGAACAATTCGAGCCAAATGGTGTCCGCTGCCTCGTCGAAGAAGAGGAGAAAGGCTCTGTTTGAGGAGGAACCGTTTGATATCAGACCATTGAAGAGACAGGAACGACTCAAGTCTGAGGAACAACCCGAGCGTGAGCAACAATTCCAGCATCAAAGACAGTACGATGGGCTCGATGTCGGAGTAGGTGATGGCAGTGAAGGACATGCACCGGAACTAAGCGGTGGAATGCCCTTGAGCATGGAACAGCCTCCTGAATGGTATTGGATGCTAAATACTGCTGCGCTCCTTGATCAACCCCACAACCGTGGCATTTCACATCAAGGAGGAGAGGTTGACATCTCGAGCAATGCCGCTTACCTGAAAGGTAGTCTGGAGACTGGATCCATCGTTTCCAGAGAAAATCAGCCTCTACAACAAAACAATAGGCTGCCTGGCGACAGAGCCAAAAATGCTGCCGACGGAGGTGAGGTCAATAAGGAATCCCAAAGCGCCGGCAATGGATCCTGCCTTGACGAGGAGTACGTCACAAGAGAGGAAGATCAGCCTGGCTACATCCCAGAAACCTCAAGTGTTATGGGATATACGAACGCTTGGTATTACCAAGGTAGACTTCGTACATCAAATCCGCCAGCCGAAAATCCTTTACGATTTCAGGATTGTTAAGAAAACCTTGGGCGTCCAATTTCAACAAACGATGTTGATTTCGACGACTTTTTCGACTATGCTGCCGAACAAAACGATCCATTTTTTTCCTGATGAGGTCCTGTGATCCCTCGACAAACCAGCTGGTTTAAAAGGGTGAAACGCTCAACATGAAACAGTTCCATTGTGCCATTGTGCCTAGTATTGCGCTCAGCTAAATGACGCCCGATTCTCACCAATCGACCCCACAGCCTTAAACAAGCCTTCTATCGCATCATCCCCTGTGTCATTAATAGATACCAAATCAACCTCGATAGCAGCTTAATCAGAGGTTTTCTATTCAAGTCTAGATACAATCCGAGGACAACCATTTTCTAAACTGAGGGTCGGTATTTGTGGCCACAGCCATCAAAATTGTTCATTCCGCCTTATTTTCCTTCATTCCAAAAATACCTCTCTAGGCTCTTCGACGACTGGCGCGGACACACACCAATTGACTCGGATAGCGGAGATAGATTTGACGCTGCTGAAGCTTGCCACGAGATTCTTTCCACTGCCTGAAACATGGTCTGTCGGATGAGGACAGATCAGTCTTCATTGACTGCAATTGGCTCCACACTAGAGGAACGAGAGGCAGATTCAATGGACCGTCGCAAGGCTTATTTTGACTTCTTTGGCGTTGGTAGAAAGATGTTTCAGGTTGCCATCACTTTCAACCATCCCCGCGCACCCTGACAGATCAGTCATGCGCCCGGCCACTCATCCCGCATATCCTCTTATGTATCCCATAGCTCTGCTATGTGTCCTTCAATTTCTGCTGCTTCTTATTTCCTTCCATAGTTGGTTGTCGACGATAGTGTAGATGCCTGTCGGGAATCTTGAGAGAGCGGTCAAGTATCGTTGAAAGGGACGGTACAGCGTAAAGCTTCGTTTGTCAATTTTTGTGTAGGAATAGGTTTCCAAGCTCGGAGAGACTATTAAGGTAGTTGCTACTACAGCTTTCTATCTCGATGGAGGTTCAGGGCGGTAGTATCGAATGTGGGGACAAGGCTTTGTTCTTCATTCCTTAGGGAGAGATGAGGCTTGTAGGACCTCCTTATATCTCTAAATTAGGAACAAAGGTCGGTAGGACAAAGGAAGTAAAATAGAAATAATTACAAAATTTAATTAAACTGAAATAAGTCCTATAGTGCTTTGTTTTGAGTGTTACATAGTATTAGAAAGTGATGTTATTCTTGTAAAGCTTCGATATCGATAAAAATTTAGTCCGTGCTTGTTAGCGCTTCACGTGGCTCTTAGTACAGCCTAACGAATAACGATTTCAATATTAGTTACTAGTAGAGAGATTCGAGTGCTGTACTCGAGTAGCAGTAAATTTCGAATTCTGACTAATCTTTTAGTCAGTTCTAGTCAGTTGATTATTCTTTAAATTATGATTTTTCTCTCATATTTTATTTTTGTTGGAAGTGTAACTGTATAGTATTATTGTATATACTCTACATTATAGTTGTATTGATAAGCTAGCTATTGTATGCGCTAAGGCTAGCGTCAGTACTAGTGAGAGCACAATGCTAGAGTATAGTATATAGTATAGAGTATAATAGTATGTGTTCTAATATTCCCCCTATAATCAAAAAACTTGATTATCAGAATCCTAGAGCCTTATTAACTCCTGTAATAATATATTAGTCTTTAATTATAATTATAATATCTAATCTTTTTATAGAAGTTCAGTATCTTATAATCTAATATTATATTATAATATAAGAGTACTCTTTTTATTCTATATCAATATCAAATCCTAAATCAATATAATATATACAAAACCTAGAGTATATAAACTGTTTTATTAGAATATCAATTATTTGATTAATATCTGCAATTTATAAACTCTAATCCTGTTTGTATGAATTATATCATTCCTGATATAATATTATTTAATATTTATATACTTTGTTTTATTATGAAATTTGTTCTCCTTAATTCAATCAATT